AGTTATTGAGTCGTGTAAAGCAGCAGGAAATTGATTTTGTGGTGAGAGTCTATAATTTATTACTTGAAAATTTTTTGAAGAAAATAAAATTATGTGTTGTTTGTTAGTTGATTAAACCTTTTTTTTCATAATTCATATAAATAATTACCAAAAAGTCTTGCATTTGTAGATTTTGCAATTTTAGAATTACTCCTACGAAAAAAGCCAGCGGAAGTTAACATATATCCGCTACCATGTAAATACAAAATAACTTTATCATATTTTTTCTTTTTATTATTGTTTTCTTCTTCCTCTTCTTTCTTAACATAAACCCATTCGCATTCTAATCCATCCCCAAGATTAACACTTCTCCAATCATCAAGAAGCACATGATTATAATCTTTTAAAACATCATCAATGTAAATTTCTGATTTTTTACGAAGTGAATTTGACAATGTCAGCTCATCTACAAGTACACCATCATCGACAGCTGTTTTTGTATTATGCATTGCTTGAAGATCTTCAATAGTTTGACTGTTTGATGATGCCATCCCATCTTTTATAATATTGAACATCAAACAAAACTTCAAATTCCATGATGGTTGAGTTGGTCCGTGACGATAATAATCGATGGTGGATGAGCATATCATAGGCGCTTTTTGAAGAAATTTCGCAAAACTCAACATACTTTATTTTAAAATATATTAATTAATATTGTCACAGAGGATGAACGGGCACAAAAAAATTTTTAGACAAGAATTTAATTGTGACAAGGTTTTGCTGCACTAAAATTTAGTGAAAATCGTGGACAATTTTTGCAGAACAATCTTTTATATAACGTTATTTTTCCCCCTTAATATTAATAATATTGATATTAATATTAATTTATTATTTGTTTCACACTTATAAATTGTATGAATTTACTTATGGTTAAGTTTCAATTCTCTATCATTACTACTATATACTACTACTATTTTCTGATTGGATAAATTATGTCGTGTCGTGTCGTTGCATTTATGAGATTCATAAAAATCATATGTTGATCATCTGATTTTGGTAAGTATAACTACTTAATGAATATTCATGAATATCATGGATGCAATCACTAGTACTAGGTAGGGCTTCTTATTCGAATTATTCGTTTTATTCGTTATTATTATTATTATTAATTTGATTATTCGAATTACATTGAAAGTTTATTCGAATAAACTTTTTAATTCGAATAAATTTAATGATTCGAATAAAACTAGCAATTCGAATAAAATGAACGATAATAATAATAATAAAATTAATAATAATAATTCGAATAAATTAGAGGTTGGAATCGACTAAAATGGTCGATTAAACTTTTTTTTTAAACAACTAATAGTTGACTATTTTAGTCGACTAATTAGTCGACCACTAATACTATTAATACTAATACTAATACTATGCTAATATTATTATTGTCTGACCAATTACGATTTTTGTGTTTTATCATTCAAAATAGAAATTTTCTACGCGGAAGAATATCAATACCATCAATATGATGATGACAACAATAGTAGTGGTGTTGTTGATGACAATTTTACATGTGAATGAATAAACACTTATAATACAAAGTCCAATAGTTCATTGGCTTCAAGTTCCAATGATTTAAACGGTAGTTTCAGAAGACCTTTAAAAAACGAATCGTAACATATGGTTTTGTGTGGAAGTATTTTGAAAAAAGTGAAAAAAAAACGAAACATTATTATTATTATTATAAAAAAAAAAATTTAGTCGACTAAAGAAACTAGTAGTCGACTAAGAATTTTTTAGACGATTCCAACCTCTAGAAGCAAAAATTTTAAAAATCAATTGCAATGCGAATTTAATTATAATTCATCGAAACAAGATTCTCTGAATCAAAGAAATTTTCATTGGATCAATTTATTTATATGTATTGCTATATCGATCCGCATTAAATCAAACCATGATTTATTGGGATAATTTATTTATATATTAGATATATAGTAATGGTATATCTTGATTCAAATCTGATTATTTAATCTGAATTTCATTGGCTCGTTCAGAGCCTTTAAAACAATTAGCTGGTCTAAAAGTTGTTTGTTGTTCTATGACAGGTTGTGAAATTATTGTTTTCATTGACGTTCACCTCAAGATCTTTATAAACTAGGAGGGTTTGTTTATATGGATAATATTGAAAATCAACAATTCTAAAAATGCCTATTAAAAATTACCAAAAAGGCTCAATTAGATCAGTTGTAGCGTCAATTGTTATCCATTTAAATAACCATCCATCGAAGACTTTTTATATACTAAATCAGATAATTGTAGATTTATGTATGTATATAATAATAAACTAATTTCTAAAATACCTTATTCATGTATCGTTCCAACGGACTTTTGTTTTGACCTCTTACCCTTGTTTTTATTCCTATTAATTAATAATAATAATAAAATGGGAATTTAATAAATGATAATTTTTTTTCAATAATGAATAATAGAAGGAGAGTTACAAGAACAGCAATTGCAATCAATCTAGAGTAGAAGAAAACCCTGGCGAAATCACGCATTGATAATAAAATTTTATTTTGTAATTTTTGTGGCCATCCTGTTGATTGGGTACAAAAGTCAACGGTTGATGACCACTTTAATACCAAAACACATAAAGCTAAGAAAAATCTGTATGAAAATAAACAATGTCAACACTTGATACCTCTCTTTCTTCCTCTGAATCTAGAAAAAATAAATGGCAATTTATTGTGGATCCACGTTTAATATAAAAGTTCATTAGATGAATATGGCTGAACATTTACCCCTTTTATCTTAAATAGCATTTGAATATTCAATTTTAGATGATAACAAAATTGAAATATTAATACGCTTTACTTTAATAGTAGTAATTTAGGGATTTCTATTTTGTAATATTTTTTAAATAAGAAAAATGATAATTATAACTAATTTAATGGTCGATTTACATCACCAGATCGTTTAACTATAGATCTTTTTTTTTTGGAAAAATATAAAACCGCAGAATTACTACAGAATGCATAGATAATTAAAAGGTTGATAACATATCACAAATATTACCTTTGAATCAGATGGCTGAACCAATCCGAATGATTCGAATTTATGAAATTCATGATAATGATTCTCGAAAGAAGCATTCCAAATTTTTCTTCCACTTCCCATTCCAAAAATTAGAGAGTTTCGCAACTGTGCGAAAATCAAAAGGTTTGCCACAAGTCGAAACTAGTTTTGAATTTTGACCTTTGACATGTAACTTTTAATTTTAGTTTTGACTATCGCCTCTTCAAAATAGTTTTTTGGCGACCAACACTACTTCTCATACTGGTAAAAGAAATCAATAAAATCATTGAAAACATTGTTTGTGATAATGGCGCCAACGTCATCAAAGCTAGAAGAATTGCAATGACTAAATATAAACATATTATTAATGTTGGATGTATAGCTCACTGTGTTAATTATGTTGTTTTTTAGAAATATGGAAATGTAATATCTTCTATATAATAAAAAAATACACATTTACATATTACAAAAGGAGCATAGGATTATCAATCAAAATATCAATGAACAAAGTGATGTTAATTATAACAAAATATCAGAACATGGGAAAAAACAAATACAAAAAACTTACGATTTGGATATCAAAAGTGCTCGGGCGATAATTTTAAAAGGATGTCAATTAGAAGAAAGGCGAAAAGAAATTTTAAATGAAAACAAAAAAAAAGTTTCAGAAGATTGGAGGACGCTTTATTTAATTCAACTCTAAGAATAAATCAAACCATCATTGATTTCTCAATTTTTCCCACTTCTTCAGCATGATTTTTATTATACCAAAATCATAAAAATTTATCAAGAATACTAATAAACAATAAAAGTTTCGACATATACTTATATAATGACAACATAAATAATTAAATAGCATGGAATCTCACACTTTATTATCATTGATTGTTATCATTAGGTCTAGTAAAATGAAGTTTTTCAATAGAAACAACACCAATATTTTCACATTCAAGTATCTTGTGATGCTCCTCTTTCAACCCTTCGATAATTTCACCTTTACCCGTTACACGTAAGACTTTTAACTCTTTCTCCACTTCTTCATCTGATAATAATTGTTCAATAAATTCAGCTGTTCGTTTAATGGCTATCTTTGGTGATGGATGGATGTCCCATTGCTATTTTGAGAATATCATTATTATTATTATTTTGCATAATTAAATAATTAATTAAAATCTGTGAAAATTACCTGGAAGACATGAGGCATTTCTTCATAAACCTCAAGAATAACTTTTGTAGGCGTTTTATAAGGTGATTTTTCAAACTTTTCAGCATTGTAATTTGGCAAATTGTATTTTTCTGGATTAGCAGCTTTATAAGCCAAATAAATACTCTCGTCTCTTAATTTTTCTACATCACCTACTTGCTATATAACAAAAAATTATTTTTTATCATCACGAGGTTTAGTATATAAGCATTCAAAAAATTTTTAAAAAAAGTATTTACCACTAAAATTGGTGGTAAACCACCCAAACTTTCAGCAAATAATGGAGAAACATATGGAATTGCTAATCCTTCATTAGACACATAAAGTTGTAAACGACCATCACAATCAAATGATT